AACTTTACAACTGCCCGTGCTACAGAGCATGTAGCTAGGAACGCGGAGGCAGGAATTTAGGCAGGGCCTCACAGGTTTTGCAAATGAAAGACTAGGAAGCAGCCAAGTTCGGCTCAGGCTGAGGCTAAGGCCTTAATGGCCACCGGCTCCCAACAAGCACTAATGTGGGTAAGAGAATGTAGTTGGGTTAGTTTTACAATTCAGTTTCTCTCAGACATTCCTAAGACACTTTGTTCTGAGTTTGAGAGGAATATGTAAATAATTTGCTATTTCGTACCAACTTCTAGACAAATAACTTTGAGTCATGCTTTCATCGCAGGTGCTGGTCGGATTGAATTATGCTCCGGTTTACTGGAGGGAGGAACCACGCCCAGCATGGGTAAGTCTCCATTAATCAGAGCATTTGTAGAGCCTGGAAGCTATTGCTATTCTGTTTCTGTGAGGTCCTTTACATGATCAGTTTAGCATGCTTACAGTCGTAAATAATGGGACATCTGTCTATCAAAGTCTTGATCAAATAGATTCTTTTCTCCTCACCTGTCACAAAGTTGTTAACATTGGCTCTGGCGTTTTCCTCATGTTTTGAATATTTCAACATCCAAATATTTTCCCGTCTTCCGCTTCCTCCTTCAGAGACTCCAACTTCACTGATGAGCGGCTTTGCTTTTCCCCCCTTTTCGCGTCCTTTCTCTGTGTTTCATTGTGGAGTCTTTCTTGCTATGTTTCAGGTTTACTTGTTCTGCAGTGTCGAACCTGCTGCTAATGCCACCTAGTATTTTTTTCAATCTCACACAACATAGTTTTCATTTCTAGAAGTTTGACTCGAGTCTTTAGAAAAACATTTCCCCTGCCCCTTCTGAATTTGTTGAGCATATGGTATCGTTATAAAAGCTCGTTTAATGACCTTTATCGCTTAGTTGGAATATTTGTATCAACTGCAGTTGTTTTTGCTTGCTTGGTGTATCATATTTTCCTGTCTGGTCATTTTTTTGATGCTGGGAATTGTGAATTTAACTTTATGAGCTACTAGATTTTTTCCCCCCCTGAATGTTTTTGAACTTTATTCTAGGATGCAGTGAGGTTGGAAACAATTTCATCATTTTGGTCTTGCTTTTAAGATTTGCTAGGCTCAGTCTAGAACTCATTTTTCCCCACACTGAGGTAAGACTCTTCTGTGTACTCTACCCCTTTTCCCACGGATCTTGATGGTTTGTCTGGCTGGTAGAAACAGGCAGTTATGAATGCCAGACACTGTTCCTTCAGCTCCTTGCACACATGCTCTCATCAACTTAGCTGGGTATTCGAGGGAAGATCTTTGTAGCTCTCTAGAATTCTTTCCTCCTGCCTGGTAGGCTCCTACAAACTCTAGCCCCCTTGGACCCTCAGAAATCACAGTTCTGTCTCCTCAGTTCAGAGGATTCTCTGGGCTCTCCCTGTGCTCTCTATCCTGCATTGCCACCTGAAAACTCCCAATGCTGTATTGCAAGTCAATTATAGGACTCTCCCCATTTGATTCCCATCTTTCAGGAATCTCTGCCCTTGGTCGTGTGAGGTCCCGTGTCTTGCAAACCACTGTTACATACATAGTATCTATCTATTGGTTATTATAGGCAGGGTTGTGGGGGGGTATGCGCCCATGCGCATATGTGCATGTAAATGTAGTCTCTGTTATTCTACCTTGGCTAGAAACAGACATTACTATTCAGAATGTTTTGATTCCTAAAATATGCTACTCTGGTACTGATAACTTTTTTTGATGTAAGACTTATTATGCTTGTATACAAAACAGCCTTTTAGAATGAAGGAGCATTCCCTGGCCATTGTAAACTTTCTCAACTGTGTCTGTAACTAGTACCATTTTTGTTTCTTCAGCTCTAATCGTGATTTATTTCTTGGGGCTGGAATTGTTCTATCCCATGCAACATTTTAGCAAAGAAGGGAGGAAATTCAACTAATATGCAAACAGCTAATAGTGCTTGTCACGGATCTTACTGAGTTTCTGGGCTAGGCACCAATTTTGTCATATTTCGGTACTTCTCTTAATCCTGACTAGGAGAAAGCTTTCTCCTCTATAAGGAGTCACAGTCTCGGAAACTCGCAGGGGCAGTTCTACCCTGTCCTGTAGGGTCGCATTGAGTTGGCATGGGCTCGATGGCAATGAGTTTGGCTTTGTGGACTCAAAGACATTTTGAATAAAATCATAAATAAATAAAACGTTGCTCCCTTTTACATATATCTTTTCAAAAAAGTCTTTGCTAGATTTCTTTGTGTAATTAAGGGTCATAAACTTTGAGCCAACTTAACAATAGCTGTAAAACTAAAACCCAGTCACTTCCTTCCATGGCAATCCCGTGCGGCCCAGCAGAACTGCTCCACGGGAGGCCATGGCTGTGGTCTCTACGAAGTTGACTTCCAGGCCTTTCTTCTCCAGGTCGGGTCAGTGGATTCGGGTTGCTGACCTTTAAATTAGCAGCTGACTGCACACCGCTTTCACCACTCAGGCTCCAAAGATCTCTGTTGTAGGTTTTAAATAGAGCTGCTGCAGCACTCGATGGTAGGGAATCCACTGGTAGACAGCCGATTGACCCTGGGAGCTATTACACTTTCAGATGCCACATGCTGGCCAAAGGGTTTGCAGCCATCAGGTTTGTATTGAGTTAAACTAACAAATATTTTTAGCATGTGGTATCTCCAGTCTGTTTTCCCAATTACTCTTGTGTTTTCAACCCTTGACTTTCCTTTTACTTACCTTCCACCACATACACGTTTCTTCTCTCACTGTCTTCCTGCCCTTTAGAGCCGTCTTTCTGGTGGGTTCTTCAGTCATCCCTCCCTTGTCTTTTGGCAGTGATATGCCAAAGGGAAATTAAAAGACCAATCACATCCTTGTGCTTTTAGCTCACAGGTGCATTTTAACCTTGTAGGCGTCCTTCAAGTTGTGAAGCAGTGTGTCCAGATCCCAGTGTTTGTGATGATTCGGCCACGAGGAGGGGATTTTTTATATTCAGACCGTGAGATTGAGGTTATGAAGACTGACATTCGTCTCTCCAAGCTGTATGGTGCCGACGGTGTGGTATTTGGGGCACTAACTGAAGATGGACACATTGACAAAGAACTCTGCGTGTCCCTTATGGGTAAGAATTCCGTGTCTTGAGACCAAAGAACCTCTAATGGTAGTTGAATTTACATACCCAGTGTGTGCATGTATGTGTGTGTGTGGTGCGCGCGCGGGGCGGGGAACATGATAAAAAAAATGGACTTTTCTGTACACCTTCTACTAGCCTACCCATTTTGAACAGTAGTGATTTGGATGCTTGGGGTGGAGAATGCATGTGGCAAAGCTATCTAAAATTTCCCTAGTTTCTACTCAGTTCAGGTTTTGCTAGTGTTTCTCAAGGGTCTTATGGGGTCTACCTTGACTCCTTTTTCCCTGTGCACCCCAAACTTCCAAAGCTATTAGAGCTGGTGAGGCAGAGGGGTGTGGAGAGCACCAAAGCAAACTATACGCCTAGGCTACAAGGTTTCTTGAAGCTTCTCAAAGGTGTAAGTAGCAGATTTAATGCTGTAGTCGTCAGATCCTTCCATTTTTATTTAGGAATGGATCACACCACCACCACCCCCAATATGGAAATCAGAGACAAGGGGAAGGTAGACCTTTTGTGTTTTGTTATGATTTTAATTCATTTTCTTCACATCATAGGAGGAGCACCTTCTTTTCCTTTTAGCCCCATCTAGTTGGAGAGTTCTGTATGCCTTCATTCATGTTGTTCTTTCTTTGATAGCTATTTGCCGTCCTCTGCCAGTCACTTTCCACCGAGGTGAGTCATTTCTATTTTAGAGGATCCCTTTAAGAAGCATCAGTTTTCTAATTGCTCAAAAGGCTACCTTTTACGGAACACCATTCCCTAGATTTACAGTGCTTCTGGTCAGTTTCTAAGACTGGTTTCAGGATCAAGAGTAGTAAATTTAGAGATGCACAGTTTTTGGAAATGATAAAATTTATGAAAAGTTGCTAAAAGTGGATACTGCATGTCTGTAAGTGCATGTACCTGCCCCATCATTCCAAGCAAGACTCCTGAGATCGCCTTAGAGCAGCAGTTCTCAACCTTCCTCTTGCTGAGACCCCTGAACACAGTTCCTCATGTAGTGGTGACCCACAACCATAAAATTATTTTCGTTGCTACTTCCTAACTGTAATTTTGGTACTGTTATGAATTGGACGACCCCTGTGAAAGGGTCGTTCAACCACCCAAAGGCGTTGCAACCCACAGGTTGAGAACCGCTACTTTAGAGCATATGTAACCCCAAGAGGAATAAGCCATGTGGGATGAAATGTGCTGTCTAAGGCAAACAAAGTCATTACTGCAGCTGGTATAAGGTCAGCTTTCCCAGATAAATATAGATTCCCTGGAGGTGCCTGAAATACCTGAAGAAGAAAGAATTGGATATTTTTGTTGTTTTTGTTCGATGCCATAGGTACCAACACGTAACGATCTTACCTACAACAGGATGAAACAGTACCCGGTCCTGCCCCATCCTCACAGGTGTTACGTTTGAACCATTGTTACGGCCACCATGTCAGTCCAGCGCACTGGGGACGCTCCTCTTTTTCACTGACCCTCCACTTTACCAAGCATATTGCCAGGAAGAGGGGAAGCAGCCATAGGTTCTGGATCAATGATACACAGATGTCCACAGACTTCTTTTTCATTATTATTGCTACTGTGCATGATTTGTAATCTTACCTGTTCGTTTCAAATGAAAAAGATACATGCATATAAGGTCATTATAACTCCTAGATACTAAGGCCACGCATGGGTAAAAGAGTCAGTTTTGCCTTCTGAATAAGCATTAAAAGATTCAGATAAGGTTGGTTATCCGCATTGGCATCTAACCATAGATACTAGGGATAGTCTCGTTACACTTGTTTCTTTACATAACGGCTGACCTTATCAGAAAACCATTTCCTTGGAGTTAATATTTAAACTACCAGTAACTATAAGAGAGTTGATTGCTTTAGAGTCAGCACCATGAGGCACCATCCCGAAGCCTCCTGTCCAAAATTTTGAAGCATGAAAAAAATTCACATCTACCTAGAAAATGCAGTTGAGAATCTGACTTGCTAAATAATTCAAAAATGACTATTTTTGAACATAATTTTATTTTTCTTAAACTAAGGAAGTGGCTTTAAGTTTCTGTCCTTTCCTTTTTCTTCCAAGTATAAGTTTAACAAAAAGATTTTCATGTTTTCAAATTTTGTATCAATTTTACATTGTCCTGGGCACTGTTTTTCCCCTATCCATAAAGAAGAGACTATGATAGTGGGATGGCTGATAATAAGGTACCACCACCCCAGAAGGAAAATCTTCGGCAGTAGATGTAGCTCCCCGGTGTCCTAGCGAGTCTGTGTCAGAGGACCGCCAGTGCCTGTGCAGCCTGGCCAGAGATGAGCACTTCCAGGGCCTGAGGCTGTGCTGAACACCACCTCAGAGTGGTCTCTCTGCTTTGATGATTCTGAGACGGCAAAGAGGTCTCGTTAGCAAGTCGGCTGCAACTGAGTCCTCCTGTAGTCTGTTGTACAGTTGTCCCCGAACCAGGAGCCTTGAGTTTGTAACATAGCTCAGTATAAAATATTAGTCAAGAATGAGAATGTGGATCAAGGTCTTTCCTAGAACTAGTTTTATTCGGCTTAGTCTAGCTTGCCGGAAGCTGTCGATCGAAGTTTCTCAAATTTGAGTCATTTACATATCACATGTACGATTTTACCATACACAGTGATACTTATGTTCATTTGTTTCCTTTTATCTAGATAATATCTTAAGCAAATTTATTTTAAAGAGGAATTTCTGAGAAACCCCTCAGGAACAGTAGTGAGAATAGCAAGATCATGAGGGTAGGAGGTAGAGGTGGAAGGGGGAGCAAGGGGGAACCCATCACAAGGTTGGATATATAGCCCCCGAATAACAGGACTGTGAGTGAAGGGAGACAACAGTATATGATATGAAAATAATAATAACAATATATAATTGATCAAGGATTCATGAGAGTGGGAGGGGGGCGAGAGAAAAAGAGGAGCTTATACCAAGGACTCAAGTAGAAAATGTGTGGGGAATGATGATGGCAACATATGTATAAATATGCTTGATACAATTGGTGTATGGAATGTTATAAGAGTTGTAAGAGCCCCCAATAAAGTGATTTTTAAAAATAAAGAGAAATTTCTAACTACTGAAAATAAGAAAATTTCTATTTCTAACTTACATTTATATATTAAAATGTCTACCATCTAAAATGATCATGCATAAAATGGCATGTGGCATGTTAAAATGGTGTGATATGCTTATTTCTGAAACATAAATACACCATCTTGACTGCTTTTAAGCAACCAACAGATGAGCAAAGGTTTTGAGTATTGAACAACTGGCTCTTGTGAACAGTATAAATCAGATCTAGGTTATATGTTCAAAATTCAAATTATTTTTATGTATTTCAGCCTTTGACATGGTCCGTGACCCAGTGGCAGCTCTGGAGACGCTCCTGAACCTGGGGGTTGAGCGGGTGCTGACCAGCGGGTGTGACAGTTCCGCTCTAGAGGGGCTGCCCCTGATAAAGCGACTCATGGACCAGGTGCACACAGCTTCTTTCCGACACTCTGTGTTCAGTCAGCTGTGAGAGCAATGACTGACTTCATGGTCATTCTATAGTAAGAACAAGCAAGTAGGCAGTAATATAGTTCTATAATCCCTACTTCTCTGACGTGAGTGCTTTGTAATAACCTAGGCTCTTCAAATTATAGATGGTGCCTAAGTATCTGACTTAACTTGTACATTAACCACAGCCAATTTTACCTTCTTTCTTGCTATCTAGTTCAGCACAATTTTATACCACGCCCTCTCACTGTCAGCCTGTGTAAACTCAAGATCCCAGATGACATAATTATTGTGTGGAGGTATATGTTCCAAAACCAAAAGCATACTCTTCTTTTATCTCTCTGTGTCTCTTAAAGTAGAAGGAAACAATTATTTTCTCTTGTTCCCAAGTCAGTGAGGAGCCTTACTTCCATTGTAGAGTAGAGGATGACGTGTGTATGTTTCTTGACATTCTCAATTATGATCTCTAGTATGGAGGTTGAGATAAGAGAGTCCTGGATTTGAGACTCAGATTTAGCACTTATTTATTGTAAAATAGTGAGTAGGTTACTAACCTTTAAGCCTATTTCCTCATGTGTGAAACAGAGAACATTTTAATAACTCCTTTGTGTGGTTGCTGAGCAGATTGATAGAGATAAAATATGTACAAGACAGCCAGTGCTTGGCATGTAGATCTTAATTCATGTTAGTTTATATTATTACTGTTTTAGTAATAATTTTGCTTCTTTTGTGTAGCTATCTGATTATCTGAGAATTATTTTAATTAATTATCAGAAAATAATTTTATTTCTACTTCTCTGTAGTCCTGAAAATATTTTTCAGAAATTTTGCTTAAGGATATGATGTGGTTTCACTAACTTGAGACTTAATGATTTTATGTTTTATTAAGTGCATAGGTATAGGCCATTTTTGCTATGGTAGTGACAAGGATGTGTGTGTGTATGTGTGTCTGCCAGACCCTGCAAACCTTGTTAAAGAGCTTATAGTTTCTCCTTGTTTCAGTGGGGAAGCCTGAAGGGGTTTAAAATAGAATTGTTGATGAATTAGACTTCTATTTTTAAAAGGTTGCTTATTATAGAGTTGAACATAGAGTAGCTAAAATTGCCATAGCCTTGTATTACATTTCAGAATGTGTGTGTGTGTTTTGTAGGTTAATCATTGGTTGGCAGAAGTACTGGGCTGTAAATAATCTCATTTATTAACTTCTTGAGATAATTACTTACCAGCATGATATATTTGTGTAAAGCCTAGGCTGCTGGATTAAACAGGGCTGGCTTAAATCCTGGCTTCATCATTGCTTGACAGTGATGTGGAGCAACGTATCTAGCCATCTCATCTTTAGTTTCCTCACCTGCAAAGTCAGAATAATGCTGGTACTTCTCCTAGAATAATGAGGGGAGACTACTTCAGATAACTACAGCACGATGTCTAGTACTTTTAAAACCAGTACTCAATAAAGTAGCTTTAAAACCAGACTAGGTCATTATATGAAAATAGGTATTATATGAAAATGGAGCATTTCTGCATCGGATCACAAAATAGAGGATGATTACACCATTGTCTAACTGTGAAATTATATTATCCCATAACTATCAACATACATGATTACCCAGCTGTCAAATTATTTCGTTACTTAACTGTCAAACCACTGAGAATAAGGGCCCAGCCAAATTGACGCATGATATTAATCACCCCAGCCAGTGTTACTACTATTTTGGCATTCTTTATTGCTAGACTTACTTTGGGAATGAGCAAAAGAGTCACATAACAGATTTTTTTATTGTTGTCTTCAATGTGAAATGTCAGATAATGAGTTGATAAGTGAGAAATTGTTAGATGCCATTGAATTAGTTCTGACTCATAGTGACCCGACACACACAGGACGTAACACTCTCTAGGCCCGCGCCACGCTCACAGCTTTGCTCCCACTGTTGCAACGACTGTGTTTATCATGAGGGGCCTGACTCTTTCACTGACCCTCTGCCAAGTAGGATGTCCTTTTCCAGGGACAGGCCTTTTTCTGTAGTGCAGAGGACATGAGATGAAATTTTGTCATCCATGCTTCTAATGAGCATTCTGGACATACTTTGTCCAAGACAAATTTGTTTGTTTTTCCAGTGTTCCGTGGTCCTTTTTAATATTTTTCACCAAACCATAATTCAAATGCATCAAGTCTTCTGCAATCTTTCTTGTGTATTGCCTAATTCTGATAGGTGTAAGAGGTGACAGAAAATACCATGACTTGTGTTAGGAGCATCTTAGTCTTCATATGTCGCAGAGACTGTGTGCGGCAGGTGTATACGGCGCAGAAGCTAGAAATGGTGTGTTTGGGGTAGTAACTATGGAGCTACTGTTCCAGAAATGACATCTGGCCCAGTTCACATGAAATGTTGTGCATTTCTCAGTCACAAATATACCAGAAATTAGGATTTGAGGTCACTTTTGATCATTTCCTGAAATCCCTGTCACTTAATTGCTCATCTCAGGGGTTCTAATTTTGTTCAGCGAAGAATTTAATTATGTTGTTGACTCATACTGTACATAGAGATTTTTTAACACCTTGGTATAATATGCATTTTTATACTTTGATATAATATGCATCTTGAAAATAATAGCAATTCATCATCAATTTTTGTATGACACATTTCACTGGGCAGTCTGCTACAAAAGACCTCATTAAAGTGGTAAAAATAAAGATGCCACTTTGAGAACCCAAGCTTTGGTACCTTCAGTCACCTCATCTGCATGTGAAAACCGGGAAATTAATAAGAAAGGCCTCGAAAGAATGGATGTCTTTGGTGTTGGCAAAGGATATCATCAAACGTAACGTGGACTGTCTGAAAACAGGAACCAATCTGTCTTAGAAGGGTGCTTCTTAGATAAGAGCATAGTAAGACTTTGTCTCATGGATTTTGGATTTGTTATCAGGAGTGCCCAGTTCCTAGAGAAGGACATCAATGCAAAGGGAAGGGTCCGCCACAAAAGAGGGAGCCCTCTACTGGATCAATACAGTGACTGCAACACGGGGCTCCCGAGAGCAGTGCAGGACGGGAAGTGCAAAGGGTTGATGTGAATTGAAACCAACTTGATGGCACCTACAACAACTTATTAAACGTCATTCATTTATCTCTGTTTCCCTTTTCACTTCCATGTATATTATTTCTTGTCCTCATTTTGTTATAACCAAGGGAAAAAATGGAATTCTGTGTTGCAGGATGGCTTCTCCAATCTGTCTAGCTTTTGTGAGAAGCCCTGGTGGTGTGGTGGGCTATACATTGGGCTCCTAACTCCTAGGTCAGCAGTTCGAAGCCACCAGCTGCTCCCTAGGAAAAAGATGAGGTTTATTGCTCCTGTAAAGAGTTACAGTCCCAGACACCCCCAGGGGCAGTCCTTGTCCCACGGGATCGCTGTGAATTGGAGTCAACTCCGTGGCAGGGAGGGTTGTGTTGGGTTCACAGAGAACAACACTTAACAGACACCCATACGGAGTGCATACCTTAGGGTTGCACTGAGAGTTAAGTGGAGCATGTTAAAGACACTAGACTGCATTTCGTAAGTAGGAGAAGGTTCTTTCTTGTCCGCACGCCCTTCCCTCCATTAGTCTATCTCCTCTTTGCAGCTTCTGCTGGTGGCCCTGCTTCTCTTCCTCCTGTGCGTTGGATGTTTCTTGTGCGCTTGTTTACACTTCTCACTCTGTACACTGCACTTTTCTCCCCTCCCCGTCCATTTTCTCCTCCCACACCAAGCCAATCTTTCCATTTCTGCATTTATCTTACATGCACATAATGTGGAACTTAGTATCTTTTCAGCATTTATTCTTACTTATTGAATACGTTAGTGTTGAATGTTTCATTTTTTTATGGAAGTTTTGTGTGATTGATAAAACTTTTGCTGTAAAATGGCAACAACACCAAAAAAAGGTTGAGTAGCACTCAGTGAAAGATTTGATGCACCCCACCCACAAGTACATGCACCGGCTGAAAAGTGAGGGAGTGGCTTCAAGTCTTGATGAGTGGCAGGAGTGCTTGAGCCAGCATTAAAAACCCAGTTCAGGGAATACAAACGTGACCATTTTTCATTTATGTGTGATTTGATTGATTTTAGTCTATGAAGTAATGAGCTTGACATAATACGTAGTTTTATCCTGTCATTGTAACCTGCTTGCTTTCTGATAGCTCCATCAAGTGAGTATTTTATAATGGGATGGTTTCCTCTTGTCCTTTTGTGATACTGACTATACTCCCAAAACTCATTTTAAACAAACATAAACCTACTGTCACAAATCAATTCTGACTCATAGTAATCCTATATAAAGTTTTTGAGATGGTAAATCTTTACAGGGGCAAACAGCCTCATCTTTCTCCAGTAAAATTCATTTAAATAATTAAAGTTTGGATTAAAATTTTAATAAAAGTAAAGAGATTTTAGAATCTTCTAGCATTATCAGCAATTATATGCTTTCATATACAGTGAACCCTCGTTTATCGCGGTTAATCGGTTCTAGACCCTACCGTGATAAATGAAATTCCGCGAAGTAGGATTCCTTATTTGTAAATCAAATATTATTTTCGTAGTTAGAGCATTGAGGACATGAAAAAACACCCTTTAGTCACCATTACACTCGTATTACCCAATTTATTAAACGAAATAGGGAAAATGCAGTAAAACATTTTGGACGTTACAATTATCATTTATTATTTATTATGAAGTACAACGGATGGAGCGAACGGAAGACTCAAGTCGAAATGGCGTGCAACCTCCACGATTTTCTTGCCATCTTTGATCATATCCAAAAGTTTTACCTTTTCCTGGATGGTGAGCATCTTCCTCTGGCGCTTATTTTTATTGTCAGAAGGCTTAGAAGAAGAAGCTCATTTAGGAGCCATCATAGGGCTTAGATAAAATTTCTTAAAAATCGCAAACAATTACAGTACACTATACAAAAGCAAAAATGCATCTGATACATAGGTCCGATACGTAGCGATGCAGACAGAAGCGTGTACAGTATGAGCCAATCAGTGGCAGTAATGACAGAGCATGCGCTGTTACGCAAAAACAGCGATAGAGTGAAGCCGCTGAAGTCGAAGCGCGAAGTGGCGAGGGTTCACTGTACTTAATTTTATTAAAATTAGAAAGTTTTTTTAAAAAAAGACAGACTGGTTGCTTAACAACCAGTTAAATGGACTCATAGCTTTATTTAATTGGTAAGACCCTGGAAATATAGTTAAGGATACAAGATTTGAGTCTTAATTTTTAGCCCCCAACCACCTATTAATTTAGAATTAGCCTATGTTTTTTCTTTCTAAGACAATACTAATTTAAATTCTACTACTTCCATCCCATTGAATACCAAAAACTCCAAATTTAAGTTAGTATCATATTTAACAAATTACCTTTTTGGAAGTTATGTGATTATCTCTCACTTATGTTGGATCCTTCTATTGCTGTTTATAGTAGTGCAAGTCTTTAAAGCAATATAATAAACTGTCTGGCTGGAAAGAGCTATTTTTATATTGTACATCCTGCTTCCCCAAGGCTCAAAAAAACATTGATTGACAATTGGATATTAGTAATTCTAAAACTTTAATAAACTGCCTCATGTTCCTATTGCCCTTATTATCCCATTTAAGAAAAGTTTATTAAATTTTCCTTCTTTTTTTTTTTTCAGGCAAAAGGCAGGATTGTGATAATGCCAGGTATTTATTTACATATCCATTCACTAGCCATAACACTGACCCTGTAGTGGAGGAAGAACAAAGGAGGCAGGGAAATATGGGAGAAACTATTAGTACTTGCTTCTTGGAGAGGACATTGATCAAAATGTATAATATGGGGAGCTCTCTGATGGAATTGGAATTCCTGAGTGGTAAAAATGATTAATACATTTGGCTGCTAGCCCAAAGGTTAGAGGTTCAAGTACACCCTGAAGTGCCTCGGAAGAATGGCCTGGTGATCTAGTTCCATAAAATTAGCCACCGAGACACATGCGGTTCTCACAAGTTGAAGTCAACGCTATGGCATATGATGGTGGTGAGGATGTGCTGGATGGCGAAACTCGATCAGCTACATCGCGGCTCACTGGAAATGAACACCTTTTTATCTGTTATTAGAAATGAACAGTTTTTAAAGAATTAGACAAAGTGACCAGAAATCAGTGGGACAAATACTGAAGACATTTTTTCCCTCTCTGTTATTATATTTTTCAACCAAAAAGTGAAAAGAACATAATTCATTTAACATTTGGTTGGTTTCCTTCATCTTTTTTTCTCTTGAGGTATTTTTCAATAGAATCAAAGGCATAATTGATATATGGCCTCTCAACAGCCCCCCCAAATAAGATCATTTTTCTATATAACCACATTACTATCAAAATACTGATTCTTAATATCATTTAATGAAGATCCTGACTAATGCTGCCAGGTAAGTGAGTGTTGGCTTACTAACCAGCAGGTGGCGATCCAAACCCACCAGCCATGCCACATGAGACCGTGAGGCCCTCTGCGCCCGCCTAGGGTACAGCCTTGGGACACCCTGCAAGCAGGGTTGCTGTAAGTCAGAATCAACTGATGGCAGTGGGTTTGCTTTTATTTACTTATTTTCAAATGTACTTCACACTCAGTCCATATTCACTCTCGTCAATTTCTCCCAGAATGTTTGTTTACAACCATGTGTTCAGACTGTCACACAATCAAGCTACAAGCATTACGTTGGATCGTTATCGTTCTTAATGCCTCCCCTGTTTCCAGACAGTCAGTAGTGCTTCCTGCAGAGGTGAACCGTAGAGTTAGTTTGATGCAGCAGTTCACGCTTAAGTATATCCCAAAGATACTTAGGGTGCTTAATAGAGAAGGTACTTTTCTTTTTTTTACATTCTTTTTCTTGCTTAAGAAAAATGGCATCATGTGGAATGGGATGGCAGTTGTGTGAGCCCCTAGTAAAATGTTAAAAAAAAAAAAAAAAGAAAAATGGCATCAATAGACATTAATATCCTACAGAACATCCTACTTGCTGGATTTATCAGTTAGGTTACTTTTGCTCCTATTGAGCTGATTCTTCTTATCCTTTTATTTTGTATAAGCTCGTGGTTAGATCATAAGATACATTTGGTTAATGTTTTTGGTCAGAATATTTTGTGGGTTATTCTGTATACTTTATATCACATCATGTCAGCAGGCCTCTCTGGGTATCTATTATCAGTGATGTTAAGAATGACCGTGGGGTGTAAATGGACACGGTCAGATAAAAGGCAACTTAGAAAAGGAGAGACAAGACGGAGTATACTGTCAGAAATTTAGAAAGCCTTTGACGCATAACAAGTATCTGAAACCTGAGCAGCTAGAAAACACGTACTCTTTGTCAAATTAAATCGAGAGGGCTTGGAAGCTCAGTAGTTAAGTGCTCGGCTGCTAGCCGTGAAGGTTGACAGCTCAGCCCCCAGCGGAACCACAGGAGAAAGGACGCGGTGATCCGCTCGCTCCTAGGGTTTCAGTGAGTCGGTATGGGCTCAAAAGCACACAACAGCAACGTCTTTTAATCAAGGAAGATGAGAGAGACAACTGGATCTGGTATGGTTCTGTTAAAGACTAAATGTCAGTTCCTTTGTTCTTTCCCATGTCGACAGCTAATAACCACATTTAATATATAAAGAGTTAGCTTAATATGTAATTATTAAGATAACTCCTATATACAAGGTAGAGTTACACAACAAACTTCCTCCATAGGCTTCTAATATTAAATGGGAAAATGTGATGTACAAAAATATTTGGGATTAATTTCTTTAACAACCTTACCAGGAGAATGCTAGTTATATGCCAGATTATGTGTCAAATAGGAAAACACAGAAACAAATATGAAATAATACTTTTACTGAAGCATTCACAGAATAGACAAATTATTGCAATTTCTGAGAAATATGTCTACTTCATGGGAAGATTAAGATGAATGGAACACAGTGGCTGCCCTCGGGGGCTTTCATAATGAAGCTCGCAGTCTCCTTATCAGGGCATTGAACTAGCGATCTGTGTGGCCCTTTTTTAACTCTTAAGCTCGACGACTGTGTGTTTGGGAAATGTGCTCCCTTGACCCTGAAGCTGCTGGTAACGGAGCAAAGTGTGTTTCAGTGGCCAGATATTTTGTTATATGTTAGAAGGAAACAACGTACGGTATTTCTCTCATTTTAATCCTCACAAAATGCTTGATAGACAGTATTCCCCTTTTTTATTGGTGAAAAAAATGAGTTATTAAGTAATTTAAGATCACTCTTAAGCTATAAAGAGCTGGTTTTTCTGGTTTCCTCCAGCCTCTTCTTTGGTGTGATCTGATTTTGCTTTCGCAGAGGGGAGGACAGAGACGAAGCTCGCAGTGATTTTCTTCATGCCCATTGAACCCTTGCCACAGAATAGTTATTTGATTCAAAGTCATGACAGTGTACAGCATTGTTATGTAGACCAGTGGGCAAAGAAGATTCTCTTAGATGGGGTCTGTGACTACCAGTTCTTCAGAGCCTGTCATCGACAGCACACATCCTTTATCATCCTTTCTTAACTCAATTCTAGCTTAGTAGGGAGACAGTCTTGAATAGCGAGAACTTTCATTATCCAGAATTCTGTTGGCTTATTGCATTCCTTATTCTTTCCAATAGGGGGTGGCATAACGGACAGAAACCTGCAAAGGATCCTTGAAGGTTCCGGGGCTACAGAGTTCCACTGTTCGGCTCGGGCTGCAAGAGACTCTGGAATGAAGTTTCGGTAAAAAGTGTTCTTTGACTCATATATGGAGGGGTGAGATGACTCTTTCCTTGCCCAAATAGGCACACCTTCATTCATGGCATGACTAATAAAAGGAATGTGGGGATGAGTAGCAGAGTACTGCAGTCATTTATGCCATTGAAAAACATCCCTGCACTGCTTCTTGCCTTGCCTGGAGTATGCGCCCTTTCCTAAACGCATTAAGCCTTTATATCCTTAAGGTATTTCTGAACTTAGACCAGTTCATGAGTGTTCTAGCAGCCGAGTGTCAAATGAGTCAAATGCACACATGCCCCTTTGCCTGTGCTTTCCCTTCGCAAGGAAATGACCGTGCTGGGAGGAGGGAGACGCCCCCATCGTCTCTATCCCTCTGCCTTTGCTGTTCAGTCAGCATGCCCTCTTCAGTCACCCTTTGCTCTCCGTTGTCCGTTCTTTAAAAAGACACCACTGTTAAGGAATTGAAATGATTGTATATATTCTTTATTATACTTGAGTCCCTTGGTAGTTGATTATTTTTACTGATGAATTGGGAAATAACAATATGTTAAAGAAGCAATTGAAAATTTAAATTGCCAGATAGAAAACCAAGTATTCTGCCTGGTCTATTTAGCTAAATGGTGTTTCCAGGGGTTAAAGTAATGGAAACTGGGACATGTAAGCTCCCGGGTCCTTGACCTCCCTTGTTCTTGAGCGATCATCTAACCTGTAACAGGAAATATACCAGTAGGAAACCCATTTAGCGAAAGCTTTTTCTAACGACTGATAATTATTTGGTCCTTTCTTATTTCTGTTGCAGAAATCCCTGTGTTTCCATGGGAGCCTCAATTTCTAACTCAGAGTATTCTCTAAAGGTGGCAGATGTGACCAAAGTCAGGACTCTGAATGCCATTGCGAAGAATAGCCTGGTGTAGCCCACCTCTCCGAGCAGCATGGAGATTACAGGCCGAAGGTAGAAGTATTGTCTATAGTTGACCATGACATAACTTTTGTGGCCGGGGCAGTCATAGTCTTTGTTGTAAGTCTCACGTGCCGCGGAGAATACTTCAAAAGGAAAATAACCTGAAACAGCTGTAGTCAGTCCTTTTGCAGCCACCTGTCTCCATGGTTCAGTCTGAGCCGTGCGTTTCCCAGATAGGCGCCTCGTCTGCTGATGGCGATGGAGTTAATTGGTGAGCTGGAAAAAGTTAAGAGCAACCTATGAATTCAGAGTGTAGCTTTAAGGTCAATTCAATAGGAGTATCTTGCTTTTCCATTTGTAAAATAAAATTTTCCATTTTCTTTTTGTCTCATGTGTTTTTCTTACCATAAATACAGTCTGTAGCCAAGTATGAAAGGGATGTTGTTTTTCCTTCCTTTCCTCTTTTATAATCTAGTCATTGGCTACGTTGTTCTGGGCAAGGTGCTGAAGTGTCAGAGTAAAAGCAGGATATAAAAGTTCCCAGACTTAGGAAAGTGATCTCTGGAGTTCAGAGTCTGATTCAAGAGCCCTTTGCCAATCTCTCAAGACTTACAGTAAGAACTGGGAGGCTGGGGCATTATCAAAGTAGTCATTTCCTCTGAGGTCACAGGCCAGATCAGCGGTTCGCAACCTGTGGGTCACGACCCCTTTGGGGGTTGAACGACCCTTGCACAGGGCACTCCCGATTCATCACAGTAGCTGATCACAGTGATGATGTAGCAACGAACATAATGTTATGGTTGCGGGGCAGGCGTGGCGGCCACCACCACGTGAGGAACTGTATGAAAGATGAAAGGTGGCGGCATGAGGAGGTTGAGAACCACCGGGCTAAACTAGTAATCGAACATGCGTTTCCTGTAAGTGTCATTAGCTTTATCTGTTAACTTTTCTATTTAGCATCTCATTTGAAATTGACCACACATTGTCAACAGGGCTGTTTTTCAAAGGTTAGGAGGGTTTAGGAAGTGCACTATAGAGTGCTTGCCCCGGGAGGCCACGGAGCCTCCATGCATGGTATGCGCAGATTTGGATCCTAACAGATGTGTCTATGAAGAGCCTTGCTTTTATTTAAATCTGCCCCTTCCCTCACCTTTAGATCTTTGTTTCTTTTTCATTTTCTCCAGTGCAGTTTCAATAGAAGGTATTTGCTAAGTAATTTTTGAAAATGAGAAGCAAATTATTTGAAAATTAACAGTAACTTAGTGCTGTCCTGTTTGCTGACTATAATGACAGCAAACATTCTCCAACTCAGTTTTAATTATTGGTTTTGAAATCCAGGCACAAATACACAAGTACAATATAACATGCATAATCATATTTTGTATTTTCACCCAACTTTTCCTCATGCATGGACCTCACAATATGACCCTCCAGGAATGATTGAGAGCAGGCCATGTTGTCATCCCTAGTTTATTTAACAAGCCCCCCCAGCATTGCAGTCCTTGGTTCAACACCTCCATGTGTATTCCACCAGTTCCTGGAGCCTTGCAATCACCGGTGCTTTCAATGCGGCTCAGACCTTTCGGCACCACGGGTACCTGCCCATGCACTATTCTGAAATGGCTGAGTGTTGAGTTATTTTTAGTGCAGTGATTGCGTGTTCCTACCATGTGCCCGTCAAGCTCCCTTCCCTGCGTTGCCCATGTTGTTAGGTGCCATCAAGTCAGTCCGAACTCAGGGCGCCACCATGCACAACAGAACAGCACGCCCTGCTCCTCCATCACCCTCACAGATGGGATATTTAGGCCCATTGTTTCAGTCTCTGTGCCAGTTGGCACCATGCGTGACAATGTTCTGTTGCAATAGCTAATCCCTCAGAAGTGGACAGCTGATTCCTTCTTCATAGCAACTGGCAAGCCACCACAGTACAACAAACTGACAAGGGAATATTAGCTGTTATAATTGCCTCTTCGCCATCTCTGCAACTTAATGAAGTTTAGTATTTGCAAGAAGTTTGGATACTGTGGTGGCTTGTCTGTTGCCATGATGCTGGAAGCCATGTTATTGATACTATATTAAAAAGAAGCATGAAGTCTATATATATTCCATTGTATTAGAATTGTTTAAACATTGAAAGGATATTGCACAGATCGCTCTAAAAATGATTTGTTTGGTGGTTTTTTCCTAAGATAATGTTTTCATTATCTTTGATTTAACAGACATTTTCTTCCCCAGATGCAAATGAGAAGCCCATGCTGTATGGGCTTGTTAATGAGCAAACTGTTCGTTCTTTTTCTAAATAGACCAGCTGACTGACTAAAAAGTGATTGAGGAGAGCAGCACACCTGATCATATTTTCGACTCGCCGCCTATTCTCTCTCACTACATGTCATTCTTTTGTGTCTTCTGGAAAACAAAATGACCCCATTGGCCAGTATCAGTTTGCTTTGGACTTTTCTAGGTTTAGCATTGGAAGCCCATGTTCCCGGAAGTCCCTCAGTCCTGGACAAATTGGCCAGGTTTGTCACAGTGAAATGGTCTTTTCCCTTGGTCCTCCCCTTCCTGCCGCAATCCTGGAAAACCTGAATTAGAGGAGAAGACAGAAAGGAAGATTAACTTCCTCAAGGAGCAGCTGGCTCCCAAACCAAGAGTGAGAGAGACTTTAAAAGGGTGAGTTACTTTGGGGTATCAAAGTATTCTGAAACTGATTGTAATAATGTATGTACAGCTCTTCAAATATACTAAAAACCATTGATTACACACTTTCAGTGGGCAAATTACATCTGAAAGTTGATATAAAAATTGGATATGAACATGTACACAAGTATAGAAAGGGATGGGAGCTCACGACACTCAGAATCCAGGAACAGGAGGGGGAACAGTGATACCAGAAGCGTAGGGGACGGGGGTGGGGGGGTGGGGGGGGGGAGGAAGGGAGAACCGATCGCAATGATTGACACAACCGTACACCCCTCTACAGGGGGAAGATCAACAGAAAACATGGGGGAAGGGAGCAGCAGTCAGTGTGAGAGATGAAAATAATAACAATAAATACAATCTATCGGGATTATTGGGGTCGGGGGGACGGAGGGAGGAAAAAGCTGATACCAAGGACTCAATAGAAAGTAAATGTTTGGAAAAGAATGAAGGCAACATATATACAAACATGCCTGATTCCACTGATGTATGGATTGTGATAAGAGTTGTACAAGCTCCCAATAAAATGATTTTAAAAAATGGATGAAAGAGAAGTTTTAGATGAGATTGGCCTGGATCTTCTAATACCTGAAAGTGAAACACCGACACCCCACTCCACCCCAAAACAAAAATAACTATAGAAGGAACCTATCTACGGGCCTGATGAAACACAGCTTTCTCTATCCTGAGAAGAACTAGATGGTGCTCGCCCATCACTACTGAAGGTTCTTCTCAGGAACAAGATAGAGCCTGATAGCAAGTGGGAAATGTGAATGAGAACTTCAGCTGACCAAATTTAAAAAAAGAAAAAACCCTATACTTAATGGACCCTCTGAGATAGCAGGATCCCTGAGATGGTCTTGAAGCATTGAACCAAAACGGTCACCTCAAGTCACCTCTTAGCAAAATAGGTTAACTCATAAAATAATATCACCCGTGAGTCCTTCACTCTGTTTTAAATATATGTAAACATGCAAACAAACGGAAGACAAGGCATAGATGAAAAAGCCCGGGAGCTGTGAGACAAAGGCAGTGGGAGTGCAACAGCTAGAATGGAAATATCGAGAACATTGGCGTGATGGGAAGAGTGTGAACAGCATCACTGGACAACAGATGGAGAAATGGTTCAGCAGGAACCTGTTTTGCTATGTGCACTTCCACCAAAAGTCCAAGAAAAAAGAAGGAAACGTGTTTTCACAAAGAGGAGGCAAATGCAAGTGGACTTCAAAAAGCTTGTGGAAAACAAAATGAAAAGATAACAGAAGTATCCGATGCACTTTTGGAAGCCTCTTTCCACATTCAGGAAGCTATTACAGCTTTTTATTTTGTATGAGGAGGCTTCAGAAGACAATGTGGAAGCAAGATATTTGTTTTCTTATTTAGTTTATCTCTCAATCAGCTGATTATCTATTGTCTGAAACCCAGAGTTGTAACTAAGATACCCGAAGAATAAGCAATCCATCCATCCCTTCCTGAAGCTGACCCTAAAAGAGGAGGTGGGATATCAGTCACGTAGCCTCACGTCCCCAGACCAACGGAGGGCTCCCGAGCCAAACTAGCCAGTCAGAACGCCTCATTTCTTTATCCACATTGATTAGTCCAAACAGGCCTATTCAGAATCCTAATAAAGATGTTTTGTTTTGTTTTTCCCTGAGGAAACATTGAGAGGTAGCTGGATTTAGGGACAGGGAGGTCATCCCTCCCATGCCTGCAAAGGCCCCCATAGAGGAGGTTGGAAAGAAATCAGGCAGCCATTAGCCACCTATGAAGACCCCAAACTGAGCATGCTCATTCTCAAACCCCCCAAACCAGGTGGGAGCTGCACCTGAGCGGGCCAAACTAGGCCCAGGCTCATGACATCACCCAGGTGGCTTAACTCAGCCAATGGGATAAACCAATGCCATCAATCACGCTCCCCAGCCAGAGGCTTGCAATATCCTGGCTGTGGGAAGTCTGCTCTCTTACCCTGCTCCTGGTCAGTGCAGGTCAGAGGGTGGGGGACACATGTGCCACATTGGTGTGCCCCCTCAGGGCCCCCTCTAGGCCCACAGGCACCCACTCAGGGCCTACTTTGGCCCACATGCTCTAAGTCTCTAGGACTCGGGCTTCTGGCCACTCAGGATCCCCCTAGTCCCACATGTGTGGGTGCTCTGTGCCACGTGGTTGTTCGTAGCCAGTTGTGAACTCCAGCTCGGCTTCTGCGTGGCTTGGCACACTTCCCAGGGAGAGCAGGTACCCTGTGAGACTGTAAGACCTGAAACTTGTCCTTCCTAAAAACCCACTTGGATTACGAAACGGGCTTTGGCGCGAATTCTTTCAAGAACCAAGGTATTGTCCACTCGAGAAAGCTAACAACATGTTTTCTTTTCTTTTTTCTTTTTTGCTGGAGTTACTGACAATAAAGGCTACACAGGCCTAGCACTTGTGTGGCCATGTTTGCCACCCAGTGGGAAGAGACTACTTAAGAAGGAAGCGGGCACAGAGGCAAATGTTGAGCTCATTGTTTAGTCTCTGGACCTATTTGTGCCTAAAGATAGGCCAATGGTGTCAAAGGCGTGGAGACCCAAAGCCCATCTGTAGACAATCCCCCTTATGGAGGGATCCCAGCAGGGAGGCAAGTCAGTCAGGGTGCAGTGTGGCACAGTTGGGGCATTCGGATTTCTTCTGGTTCTTTGGTGCTTCC